CCCTCGAGAGAGAGCATGCGAAGAAATTGGTAAGGCATTGTGCTCCACTCGGCTGTCCTTCCCCCCTTCCCTTCCGCGTCATAAGCAACCGGTGCACCCCGAGTCGGCGGCGAGACGGACGGGTGGGTGTGTGGAAAATGTGCGAACTCTGGCAAACTAACGTTTTCTCTGCGCGTGCAGGTGCCTTCAGATGCTGCGGCTGCGGCCGAAGCACTGCAGGTGGGGTTGTTTGGGCCATTGATCGCTCAACCGCCTCAAAAAATTGAGGAGGATGAGGACGCAGATGGCGAGGTGGACGACACAGAGATGGAGGTCGAAAACACTCGGAAACGCCAATTTGACAGCCGGCCACAACAGCAGCACATGGTGAATGGCGGCTCACCTAGCAAGCGGCCCAGGCTGAGCAATGGGTATGAGAGCACGAACGGGGCGGATGCGGCCACGGACCCCATGGAGCTAGACAGCCATGGCGACAACAACCATGCCTATCCGTCGCCTCTCGAAGGCGAGCAAGCTCCGACGCCCACCCCGAGAACAGATGGCCCCGAGCAAGGCACGCAAGTCGACAAAGTTGAGGAATTGGCCACGGAGACGACATTTCTGCGATTAATGCCCGATGACGGCAACTCCAGCGCCGGTGCCACCAACAACGCTGGCGACGGCGGCGCCCCGACGACTTTGACTACCACTGCTGCAAGCGCAGGCGGCCCTGGAGCTTCGCCCTCGCCAGCCAACGGTGAAAACGCACCCATTCTGTTGCGCTGCGAGTGGAACCCAAAGGACCCATCAATCTTGGCGGCTGCTGGAACCGATGCGCTAGCCCGAATTTGGACCATCTCACGTTCAAGCACAATGACGCCCACTCCAGCTCCCGAACCCGACGGTCACGTGCATGGAGTACATCGCCCGTTTCATAGTCTCATCGACGACGAGACTCCCAAGACAGCCACAGTAGGTCAACTTGCTTGGAATAGTAGGGGAACGGCCATTGCCATCGCCATCGAACATGGCGACAGGGCATCGGTTCACATCTGGGCAAAGGACGGTTCTCATGTCGACAAGTTCGACGTCTCAGACCCTCCCGTGATCAAGCTCCGTTGGAGCCCGAGCGATGCAGCCCTTCTCGCCATTGCGCCCGATAACAGCAACGCAAATGGACCCGGCGGCGCTCTGGTCACTGTCTATCACTCCCTGACGTCCAACACACTGTCCTATTTCCTGCCGAATCACGACTTGCTCAGCTGGCCACTGGATGCTGCGTGGACCAGCGAAACAGAGTTCCTCCTCACCGGCGGAGATGTCATGCTGTCACTCAAGTGCACGGAGACGGCCATCGTGCCGAACAAGAAATTGGAGAGCCGAGAGGACGACACATTTACTCAGGTTGTCTACGACCGGCGATCAAAACTTTCCGCTACCGCGAGCGACAAGGGCATCCTGGATGTAAGTGTCCCGAAACGCCTGTGCCATGAAAGTTCAGCTGACTCAACCTTGTAGCTTTGGGACGAAGATGGTCACCGCCGGTCAATAACGGCCCACTCTGGGGCGATCACGGCGGTACAGTGGCAGCCTCTCCCGGATGATGCCGTCGTGCCGGAAGACGAACGATTGGTCGCATCTGGAGGCGACGATTGCGCCATTATCATCTCCAACGCCAAGGACCCTGAGCCTGGAAAACCAAAGTCTATTCTGACCATGGAATCGCCCATTGTATCGATTGCATTCACACCAGATGGCGCATTCATCGCCGGAGCCACGGCCGGTCGCATTCTGATCTGGAAGGTTGGCGAGCAGCACACGATGCCAAGGGCGAGCTGGAGCAGATCGCCACATCCCGGATGGCTCAGTCCCAAGGCGAGCTCGGAGCCGGAGGACGAGGATGAGCACTGTCTGTGCTGGGATGCCGACGGACAACGGCTCGCCTATGGAGCTAACAGCAGAGTAAGTCATATCTCAAAACCTCATGGTGCGACCTGATTCTAATCATGCGCAGCTGGCTGTGATCAACTTCCGTCGGTAGACGAAACGGAGATTCCGTGCCCTCTGGCACACGCTTAAAGTCGTTCAAAGCATTCCAATGGAGTGTTAGACGTTATAGAGACTCGGTAGTCCAACATCAAACCACCGAGACCTTCCGAGAAAGGGGAAACCATGTCCACCCTCCGAGAGTCTCAACCAAACGATTCTGTGTCGTACATTTACCACTTTCGAATTTTTGCAGTTATCCGGCGTCGCGGCGGTGTTGTTTATCGATGATTTCAGACAGGTCCCCAACAAACGGGGTTGGGGCGGGGAACCGGCTGCCTTCTTGCATACGCATACCTTCCATCTCACATTACAACTGAAGTTTCTGGAAAGGACGACTGGCGTCTGCGTTGGTTTAGATGTCACCGTGGTAGATGATTCGGTCTCTTTCCCCCCTCTGGTTGACTGATTATTCTCCAACGTACTCGTGTCCCGCCAGCGGAGGAGGGGTACTTACTTTGACACTTGAGGGCTCAGCACGTTGTACACTATGCCTGTATATACCAAACGATATGGAAAAAGGAAATTATGACACTTGACTTGACGCTGGTTTGATTTGTGTGTAATTTTGTGACGATGTCGTGAAGGACTACAGAATACCATTGTGGTTCTAGACCTATCGCGAGGTGATGAAGAGCGACAGCCTATGGTGGGAAGGCTCTATGTCAGAAGTTCTACATCACCATCATTATAGCTTCTAATGCAAAATGTACGGTATGTGATTTGGCTTCAAAGTTACCTACCTTAGATCACCGACGGCTTGGTTAGACGTGACAAAAATGGCAGCCCGGGCCCCCGCATCGGATCCGGACGGACGACGGAGAGGGGGAGGGGACAGCGTAGAGGGAACGGGAAACCCCAGCCACACTTTTGCCAGCGCCTCTCCTTCAATGTCGTGCCCCGCACGTGTGATTTCCAACGACGACGTCCCCTCCATTTTTCATCCGTGCGCCGCGTCCGTTTCCCTTTCCTCTGATTGCAAAAGAAGGTGCGGAGTCTCAATCCCATTGTCTTCCCGCCCTCGACGACGATTCGAAAAACGCATTGTTTCTTTTTTTCGACTTCTTCCCGTGGCGGACTCGACGATCGCGACCGACTGAGGGGGGCGTGCTTTTTTGTCTCACTGAGATCCGACGTGGGTTTTAGCTCGCGATATCTCGGACACTGCTAGACGGATTTATCTTTTTTTTTGACGATCGGGTTAACGAGCGAGGCGACTGCGTGTTGAGTGAGGTGAACGAAACGGGCGCCAGGCAGGATTGACCTCGCACACACACGCGACGTGCCTAATCGACCTGGCAGCTGGGAGCTCTCACCAACCGACCTTTGCGACCTTCTCATCTCTCACTCATCCACATACAACACGCTAAACCACAACCCGTCAACCACTCTCACAACATACACATCACACGCAAGGAAAAAATGTCAGCACCATACTACACCCCCCAACGCCCCTACTTTTCCCCCTCAAACCACCCCTCCGCATCCTCCTCCACCTCCACAACACGCGCAGGCGGCAGCGGTGGCGCATCGGGGGCAACGGGAGCACCCTCCTTCACACCCGCCATGCGCGACCGCCAAGCGCGCGGGAAAGACCCCTACTCGCCGCGCGACAGCCCCTCGGACTCGGATCTCGAGTTCGAAGGCGGGGCCGGGGGTTCGCCTTCGAGGGGCGGCGGCGGGGTGGGCAGGTTGGGACACCTCGGTCCCGGGGCGGGACATCACGGCGGCGGCGGCGGTGGGATGTTAGCCGGGGGAGGTGTGGGCGATGGCGATTCGCACGAGGTCAGGAGAAGGAAGCTCTGGGCTGTTGCTGTGCTTGAGGATCCGGAGAAGTTGGCCATGTACGCGTGTAGTCGCGGAGACGTGAGTACCTTTCCCCTTCTCTCCCCCTTTTTTTTTCACTTTCGATCCGTCTTTCTCATTCCATGTACATCGCGCACCAAACTGACGTTCTTCGCAGAGCATCCCCGGTACCCGCCTCCACTTCACCCGCATGCTCTGCGGTTTCGACGAGGAGCCGACGCGCCAGCAGCAGTCGGACCACCGCAAGGCGTCGGCGTCGTCGTCTTCGGCGCGGCGGGATCCGAGGCGGCGGAGCGCTGGAGGGGACCGGATGGGTCGTCATTGACATCGGGCCACGGGCTGCATGGCGCTTTCCTTTTTACCCTGCGACGGCCTCTGACGTATGACATGACACTCTTGACGCGGTTTGCGGGATTACGGAGTTGGGATTTTGATCTTGGAATTCGGGGGGGATTCTGTTAGGAGGGGATGGTATCTTTGCGGGAAATCAGCTTGCTCTGCCTTGACGTTTGTCTCGTGGACATTCTTGACGTGGCCGGGGGGGAACATCCCTCGGCTGTAGTGGACGAGGTTGGCCTCAAATCGAGGCACGTAAGGAAGAAGAGAAATAGCACGGCGTAAATGGAGTTACGGAGTCATCATCACGTCCAGCATCCTGAAATACACACTCTCTCTAGTCAGACAAAATGCAATGGGTCCACATCACGACTGAATACCAGCCAAAGGTTCTCAGTACGTGAAACGTCAATGTGAAAAAGGGATCGTATGTCGGTCTCCCGCTGGTATCCGCACCGGATCAGCCAGCTGACCTTGTAGAAGCTATGTAATTCTCTCTCTCTCTCTCCCCTCTGCCGTTCTCTAGGTAAGCTACGGTCAGGTCAGGTTTATCCCTACAAGTAGGTATACAACCCCAGACCTCTCTCTGGTCATCATAATTACACGAAATGGCAATCCCGTCTAGAAGAACAGGTTTGCCGTGGTTCCAATGTGCAATCGTCGAAGCTCCCCCCAGATGGAATTTTGAATCCAAAAGGGGGGCAGTAATAATAGTAAATGAAAACAAGAAAAAAGCACCGCCAACGCCGAGTAATGCAATGGTCTAGAGTAGTATCCAACTCGTCCCGTCCTGTATCTTCCCTCCTTGAGCTGTCCCAGGTCACACCGCATCTTTAGGCGTACCTGGCGCTCTGAGTCCTGTTCATCTCCCAACCTCCGTTCTGGTAGGGATCACCGCCATGATAAGGCGGAGGCGCGCCGGGCCGCGTAGCAGCCGGCGGCGGCGGGGGAATATTGGGATTACTCCACGCGCCCCCATAGCTGTTCCATCCGCCATTGTGCGCCATCGCCGGCACGGGCACGGGTTTGAGGCGCTTAGCCCTTTGCCGGCTCCTGCTCCGCCGGCACGCGCCGCAGATGCAGCTAAACAACACAATGAGGACTAGGAGGCCGACGACGATGACGACGGGGATGAAGATGCCCTTGTTGTTCTGGATCCAGTCCATGATCTCGGTGCCGGCGTTGGCGCCCTGGCAGACGCCGTTGGAGCACTTGCCGCCGCCCGTGCACGACGTGCCGTCGAGGAAGTTTTGGTTCATCGTCACGCAGGCGCCGTTGCCGATGCTGGGGACGTTGCAGGAGATCATGCAGTCTGAGCTGCCGCTGTTGCATGAGGTAACCGAGGTGGAGTTGGTTCGCGATCCCCAGGCGGTCTTGCACTGCTGGTCACGAGAGGTGCACTGTCCAGAGGCGCAGGTGAGGCCCTCGCCAGAGTTACCGCAAGAATCACCGTCAGCCTTGTGCTCGTCGCTGGGACACGTTGATGATGAGCCGCTGCAGGTCTCCTGGGGGTCGCAAGAACCGGTGCTCGTTCTGCACACGGTACCGTTGGAAGCGAACTGGCACTGGCCGTTGCAACAGTCCTCGTTGGCGGGGTCGCAGACTGATCCGGTGGTGAACTTGCACGTCGTGGGGTTGCAGCACCTGTTGCTGCCGCAGCCAGAGGTTCCACCGCAGTCACAGTCCTCGCCAGACTCAACAATGCCGTTACCACATTGGCTTCCGGTGATGGTGTTGACATTTCGGTTGTTCGTCAAGCAAGACGACTTGACCTGGTTACGGAGAAGACCGGAGCAAATGTTACCGATACTGCAAGGAGAGAATGCTCTGATACCGGTGCCGGTCGACGGGTTCATAATGTAAGAACCACCCGCATTACAGGTGCTGGAGCTCAGGGGGCAGCACCGCTGCATGTCGGAATCGCCATTGCTGCAAGTGTCGGAAGTGCAGTCGTGTACGGCACCAAAGGTGTGGCCGACCTCGTGAGCGATAACCTGCCACTCACTTGGCGTCTGGATCACTACGTTGGCTGACGCGACCGTCTCATTGTTACTGCCGCTGCCTGATGTCTGGGCTCCATCGGTGCAGGCCTGTCCCAACCACGCCAGACCAACAGCGGAATCGGTGCCGCAGGTACTCAGGAGCGTCCAGAAGGCGTTGTCATCGTTGGACTTACCACGCCACGCCGAGAAGAGATTGAGACGATCGGTAATGGTGACGCTGTTACTGCATGCGACGTTCCACGGGGCGGTCGAGCTGGCCTGTCCAGGGCAGTTGGCGTCGCTGATTGTGAGATTCTGAATGCCGAGTGAGATGTTGAATGTGCTCTCGTACACCTCGGAAGCGGCGTTGATCACATCGATGATGTTCTGCCTGACAGCCTGCGTTGAGTTGAAGGCGGCGGTGTAAGTGCAGTCCGTAGCAACGCCGAGGAGGGCGATCTTGCGTGTCGTCGGGCATCCGTTGGTTTGTCCGATGGTGGAGACGAGGTTGACACCTGCGCCGTTGTTACCGGTGCTGCCGTCAATCTGCCTGCCGAAGATGTTGCGTCCGAAGAGAGAGTTTGATGGCACGGACTGCAGGGGTTCGGTATCCCGCGCGTCAAAGATCTTGTAGTCGGTGTTGAAGTCCAAGCTGTCCGAGTTGCATGAAGACCGGCCGAAAATTTCCCGCTTCTTCTTTAGATCCTCACGGTCGGTCCAGTATTCGATAATATCCGAGTCCCTCCAGACCACCATGTACTCGTCGGGATTCCGACCCTTGCCCGGAGCGTCGGGGTCCTCGCGGTGCTTGCGCGCATGGTAGTTGGTTCCGGTCTGGATTCGGTGGTGGTCGTCGTCGATGCGGAAAGCGCCCTCGAAAATGGGTTCCGCGCCGTCTCGGTGTACCGTGATTCGAGCCCATCCAGCATGCCTCCAGTCGTTGGGGCTTCCCTCGTGGCGTACGAATGCCTTTCCCCTGAATACCCGGTGCTCTAACCTGTCGACAGTTTCTGTGGTGTGGATCTTGCCGTCGTGGCCCATGTAATTCACTTGGAGATTGTTGTGGAGAATGTCATCGTTCGGTTCCAGCGCAAGGCGTATTTCCTGTTGCTTGTCGTGTAGAGAAAAAGTGAGATCGAAGTGCGAAAGGGCGTGGCAGTGTTGTGAAGGGGAGTGGAAAACGGCATCTTCGAGGATGGTGACATAACTCAGCGGGTTGCGCTGTGTCGAGTGTGCTGTTCGCCGTCGTCAGTAGGCCTCGCAGTACACCATCACTTTCCAAATACATACTATAAACATTCTGGGGAAGAGCCGCGAGGCCGGCAAAGGCGGCAGCTATGGTCCTGAAGGAAACCATGGTTTGTGGTGGTGTCCCCGCAAACGGGGTGAGGCTCAGAGAGGCCTCTCAGTTGTGGTGTTGCGTAAGCCTCTCGAATAGGGGAGATTGAGAGAGGAAGAGGGTCGGTTTGCGATCGTCTTAAACCACTGTTGTGCCCACGTCGCACCGCGTCGTCCCGGGTGGTTTCCAAAAAAGAGCAAATACACACACGAAGACGATGGGATGACGAACGAAAAAGGTAACCAGACGGACAGCAAAGTAATAAAACAAGAATGAACGAATGGAGAGTGGTGGACGGGGAAAAGAAGGTGGAAAGTCCGGGTGCTGGCGGCCGTTCGACGGGTGACGGAAGAGGAGAGAGCGCCAGTGCTCAGGAACTTGCGGATGTGGGATTCCTCGGGGGGCGTGTGGCACACTGCAGAGTGAGAGTGAGGGTGAGAGTCCACTGCAAAGTGCCAAAGAGTGTGCGAGTGTGAGATGAACGGTGGATTGCGCAACACGATCTCTTGGTACGGGGGCGTGGACCAACTGTATTGGAGCTCGGGAGGTGCTGTGGATTCCACAGACGGGCTGGGCGACGTCTTGGTAACTCTTGGCCTAGTGCTACTCGGCGACGCGGCAGTGGCAACGCCAATGTCCAAGTATCCTCGTGGGGGCTGGGACAATGCAAGCTGTGCAAAGTACCCGTAGCGTCCGTAGCGTCCCTGGCAACCAACCCGGTTTTTGTGTCTGTATGTACGGAGTACCCGTACAGTGGTTTCTCTCGGTTTGTCGTGCTGAGTACGATGCGAGAGAGAGAGAGAGAATGGAAATAAACGACAGTCCCAAAAGGGGTGGTTGGGTCGGGTGAGTGAGAATCAAGGTTGCGGGATGGGTTCAGTTGTGGCTCTGCACACTCTTTTCTCTCCTCTCTAGACTCCTGACTGGCTGGTGGTGTACCCTTCTCCAGGACCGGGGGAGGAGGAGAAGAAGAAGCCTACTGCGTAGGTACTGTACGTAGTACGCAGTGAAAGGATGTCAGGATGGAGAACGGTTCGGATTTTGTGTCCCTGTTTCACTGTTAGTTGCTGACAACCTTTTGGCAACGGAAGCCGCAAATGCCAATTAATTCTGCGACCCGGTCGATCCCCCATCGACCCCGAGCCCATGGACGCCAACACGGGCGCTACGCTGGACGCTGCGCTTGCTTCGCTCGCTCTCGTGATCCATCCCAGGCACTTGGGCTAGCTTGTCACTGACACCAACACCCCGGATAGGAATTAAACGAGAGGAAAATGGGCCACGAAAGGAAAAAAAAGAAGAAAGGCCGAAGAACCCGCCGCCCGTAGCCTGATTCCGGTCCGGCCAGAAAAAACCACTGACGCAGAAGCCGGCATCGGGGCTTCTGTATACTTCGTAATGTTTGCGCTATAGTTCATCTCATGGCGCTGACCGACATATGCACGCAATGATTCAGGCTCATGCAAATATAGGAAGACTGCAAGAAAGGAAAAAAAAAAAAAAGCTTCGTTCCAACATACCTCTTCGATGCCGACACCAAGTGGGATGCGGGTGCGTGCGTTGCGTTGCGTTCGTAGGCTGTAGCGAGAGGGGAATCCCGGCGTCAAAGGCCAAGATGCTCCTTTCCCGGGGATCTGACACTGTCCTCGTCTGAGCTGAGGCACGAGGAGACCTAGGAGGGCCGTTGGAGTCCAAGTCCCGCGAATACCTGCTCCAACTCCCGTGAATGTAGAGGGGGCCGATGGCCTAGCAAGGCAATGGAGCCGATGAATGGAGGGGGGAAGGACTGGACGTGATGGGATGAGATGGCAGCCCTGGGAAAGACGTATCGGGCTGAGCAATTGGCAGCGTGTCAGCGGTTTCTCTGAGGATTCTCCTGCACATGCACATTCAATGAGTGGTGGTGTGTTGGGTTTCCCTTCCCTCGACAGAGGGGAATCCCTACTTTACACAGAGCTGTGTAATCGTGGGCTATTCTTAGCCGTGCTGTTATAGACAGAATACGTACCTTTTTCCGACGTTGGTGGTGGTTTTTCCCTTCCAGATTCCCCAAAGGCCCAAACCCTTGGCTCAAAGTTGCGACCTTTTTCCCGTTGTGTGTTTCAGAGCCCGATGGAATGGCACGCTGGGCCAGGTAGACTGCAAAATAGGGCGCTTTCTCGGCCAATGGCAACTGCCTCACCCTTTGGAAAGGGTTTCGTCGAGAAATGATGCTGGCAATAGCAACCCGAGTGAGGGGGTTCCTTCAAGCCTTTATTCAAGTTTGACGTTTTGACGGGGAGCTTAGGAGAAATGTCGAGATCTCTATTGTGTATAGCCTCAAGGACAAAACGCACAATCTGGTCTGATCCGTCCAGTGGTGCATGCATCCACGATGATTTAAGTATTTTTCTTCTATTCTCCCCGAAATCTTGGAATGTTCTCCGATTCTTTGACGGAATGGAATCTGTGGATCATTCAATTGCGCCGAGATACCACTATCATGCTCATCACTTTTTCTTGGCTCCCTTCTCTGCCACTCTTTACCCAACGGTAAACGCTTTCCCATCTGGCGAGATGGGCCATTTCCTTCAACCTCCCCCCCGCCCGCGCGCGTCGGATGGGACGGTCTTGGTGCTTGGGTTGTGTCCTACTTGCTTGTTGTTCTGCTACTACCAGTCCTGTGTCCCCATTCACCACCGAAAAAACGAGTAAGCTTATTGAAGCTTACGTCTCCCTTTCCCCCCTCTCTATACACTGGGTCCCTGACTTTCGGGAGGCTGAGCAGGGCTTGGCTTAGAGTTCTCTGACGGGGCCAACTCTGTCTCTGGGCCCGGGGACTGCGTGGTTCGGGACCGCTAAACCTAATTGGTCTCTCTTTTTCCTGATGTCACTCATCCTTCACTTGGAAGTTTCATTTTGCTGCTTCTTCTTCACAAAGTATCAGCAAGAGAACGCTTCTAATACACCTAGGCACGCACCCGAGACAGCTTGGTTCGGTACGAGTTGCCAGGCAGCTCCAATTTCCAGGGTCTCAAGCGAAGTAGTATTGGAAGTTACACAGTCAGAAGAAACCCCAGAGTTGAGTAAACCTCCCGCGTACAGGGACGGCATGGGAATGGATGACAGAGTTCAGAAACTCAATACTCCCCCCTCCCCGCTATCGACCGAACCAATCATCCATCCTCATCTTACACCTTGGCTTTCCACCAGGGAAAAACATCAGACGGCCTAGATTTCTAGAGCAACCATTGGCATCAACACCGCCTTTCCCTAATGTCCATCTCTCTACACAGCCCGCGCTGGTCAGTCAGTCAGTCAGTCAGTCGAAAGGGTCGGATTTAAGACTCTGATCCTCCGCCGATGCCGTGCAGTACCGCCGCACTCACGCAGCGTGAAAAAAAAAAACAAGCACATCCAACTACTTACACTAGCACAACTTACATCTCGGCGCCCCCCCCCCCCCCCTCATGAGGATTGCGCGTCAGACCCCATCCTGTGGTGGCTTTGCTTTCTGCATGCGCAAGAAAAAAGCCAAACGAAACAAAACAAGTTCTTCTCTCGACCAACCATTTCGGTTCTGAACCCTTTTGCCTGCTGAATAATTGATAAACATTACCAAAAGTCGGTGGAGATGGATAGTGCCCTTTCACAAGTGATCCGAACTGGATCTCTCACCTTACCTTGCCTTATCCAAGGAGGCCTCCTCCATGTTATGTTCCCTGTCTTCCGAGAGAATCCAACCTTTTTTTTTCCTCCACACGCATCAGGGTATCAAATTACCTCCGAGCAGTTCACGGCACCTGAGGCCGCCGCATCTTTGGACGCCAAGTCCACGGGGGGGGGGGGGACGTCTCGCCTGCTAGGACTCCTCGGGAGTCTAGCCTTGATTTCTTGGCCCGAACAGGTCGATCGTGGATCTTGGGTTTCCGTCTCCGTCTGATCGTCATCTGATACTTTCTTGGACAGTATGTAGAAGCCAGAACGATGGGGAGTGACGGAAGCTGCCTTCTTCCGGAGTACTCCATCATGATCCATGACCACTACTCCGTGCCACGTGAATTGTAATTACAGGTACGCTGCCATGTAGGAAAGAGTTGATGTTGGAGCCAGGGTATATCGTGATTTCTTGACTACTGCTATAGTTTCACTTACACAGTTACTCACGTGATCATTGTCCAGTTGGACAACCTTCGTCTCAGAGAGGGCCCCGAGGGATTCCGTTCGGTGTACGGAGTAAGAGTACACCTAACACTGCTTTCTACTTACATTACAGTAGGGTGTCAAAAGTTCGTGTACACCCTCCCAGTGCGTCACCTATAGCCCACTAACTACGTCTCTTTATTACTATAAATATCTTTCTAACTTAGGTATAAATAATATAATTTAAAAATTTAATAAAGTACTTTAGTATATAAAGTATATAAAACTATTTTTTATATATTTTAAAATACGTTATATTAGTACTTTATATTATAATATAAAAGTAGAGTATAGGATAAAAAAGAATTTACTAAGGTATATAGTGCTATTCGTACTTAAAAGGCCCTATAATCCACTATAATAAATATCTCTTAAAATCTATTTTTTAAAAGATTTATTTAACGCTTTAATAATTAAGAAAAGCAAAGTGTAACTTATATATATACTAATATAATAGCTAATTAGTTATATAGTAATTTTTAGTTTCTTTTTCCTATTATATTTAACCTTTTATCCGCTGTTGAAAAGTAGTACTTTTGCGGGATACTGTGCGCTGCACACGAACTTTTGACACCCCACTGTACTTCCATTACTCCCACAGCCACGTGTCTTGCCAAACCTAAGCACCTAGCGGCAGAAGACTAATCGAAAACACAAAATTAACGGTACGGCGGAGTCCCCATTCTCCACTCGGATATAAGAGATACCTTTGATGACATGCCAAGTCCAACCAGTACCGCGTAGACCCTCCAGCCAAGAGGCTACGGATTAGGGAAGGATGGACACAGCAAGGCGCTGTTCGGTCCTGAGAACAATGATGACGACGACATCGGGTT